AAAGCAAATGCAAAGTATTAAATGAAGATGGAAGGATGAATTTGGTTCTGGAGTGTCACAAGAATAATTGTGAGTTGCATCTACATAATAATCCTTCGACTGGAAAGTCAATGGCATGGGCCAGAAGGATTACCACCCTTAAAAGTAATTGCCTGCACAGTAGAGACTTAATCCATGGACACAGGATCATAACCTCTTAAAGTGATGAGCCTTTCAAGCCATCTTGTCTAACCTTCTTATGATATGGAAATGGTGGCGGCTAGATTTTATGTCAACTTGAATTTGTGTGAAAATGTAGGCATGGAGTCCAACTTGTCAATGGATGGTAGCCTGATGATGCTTCCTTGGAGGTTTGCTCTTATTATATGAGAGATAGTGGGGATTTCTCTCTCTCTCTAAGCCTTTCCTTTCCTACTCGCTGGGACTCTGTCTCCCTCCAGGGACAGCCCTGGGTATAACCCTATTGGACAAGCTAGAACTGCCCTGTGGGCTTTTGAGACTGTAACTCTTTATGGTAGTAGAAAGCCTCATCTTTTCCCCAAGAAAACCATGTGGAACAGTGAGTTGGAATCGACTCAACAGCATGAGGGAACAACAACAACAATTTCACATGGAAGTTCTCAGGTCACAGCCTTTGGAAGATATTGTCTGACTTCTGGCCAGAGTGTAGTGAACAACCATTGAGTTAGTTAATTGTGCCAACCTGGCCGATAATCACATGTGGGGCTAATTGAAAGGCAGAGGGATAAATGGGTGGTGAGACTCGCCTTTCTAGTTCTTGGGTCTCTTGCTTTGTGATGGTCGCATCAGGGTGCAGCTGCCTTAGCAGTTCCCTGCTTCAGCTTGCAAGATTGACTTCCTACAAGGCATCCCCAAGGAGAAGCCACATGGACCTATCCCGATGCAGCCCTGGGTGCTGGAGCAGCCGTGTGGAGACCCCTGCTAGTGCTGAGATGCTTATTCGTTCACTGACTCAGCTTTCCTCCTGCAGTCGGCATCATTGCCTCTGTTTTGTGAGGTTGAGGACTTTGTTGGGTTACTGGGTTAATGTTGGACTTGTGGGCTTGGGCAGCACTGGGTTGGGATGTTTTCGTGATGCACACTTTCTTTACATAAAACTCTCTCATACATGAGTTGCTGTGGGTTTGTTTCTCTAAAGTACCTAGACTAAGACAACCATCAAAGGGAAAGGGCAACAGATTCACTCTCTTGAGAGTCGTCTTGGAAGCAGATGACTACCGTGCAAAGGAGGACAGCTATGGAGACCTTCCTGATGCTGAACTGGAGGAGAAAGATGGGCTGATTGGAGATGGACTTGGGAGCTCATTATAGCTTCCTTTTGGAACCTGAGCTTTCTTTCCTCTTTTTTACAGGTATCTCTGGATCACAAGATCATGGAAAGTGGGAGGTGGCTAGACAAGCCATTTTTAAGTATAACACTTGCCTGTGAGTTGCCCCACCCAGGCTTCCCTATGGTTGGTTGCTAGAGGGGCTGAGGGGATGTACAAGAATGGCTTAGCTGCTTACTTGGTTGGGGTGCTTATGAGGAAGTTTGCTCTCCAGATGGGTTACCAGAATGTGGGATTATGATGAACTGTTTCCTCCTCACATGATAGAAATCTTTTTGAAGTAAGTGTTCACCGCCTTCTTCCATGAAGCAGAATGCTCTGATGGATTTACGCCATTGTTCTGACTGTGGAAATATGACACGAGCAATGATGCCACTGAGCCTGGAGAAACATAAGGTAAGCTTCATTACGTCTAGATGGACAGACAGAACCGGAGCATCTGGGGGTACAAGAGTGGCTAAAGTAAGATTAGCTTTCCAGTAATGGCTCCATCCACCAAATAGTCACTGTAGGTGTTCAATGAGGTCAGTGGGCTCAGCGTGGAATGAGGGTTAGGAGCCTTTAACATATTTGTACTCTTTAAAGGAGAAATGCCACATCTCAAAATTCATTCTGTGGAATTGAGCTCACAAATGGAGAAAATGTCAGAAACAATGTGTGACACAGCTTATGTTTGGTCAACTCATTGGTATCAAACTACGTACTGAACTCTTTAAAAAAAAATTATTTTATTGGGGGCTCGTACAATTCTTATCACAATCCATACTTACATCCATTGTGTCAAGCACATATGTACATTCGCTGCCCTCATCATTCTCAAAACATTTGCCTTCTACTCTAGCCCCTAATATCAGCGGCCCATTTCCCCCCTCCCTCTCTTCTCCCCCTCCCTCATGAACCCTCCATAATTCACAAATCATTGTTGTTTTGTCATAAGTTACACTGTCTGGCGTCTCCCCCACCCTCTTCTCTGCTGTCCATCCCCCAGGGAGGAGGCTATACGTAGATTCTTGTAATTGGTTCCCCCTTTCTACCCCACATTCCCTCTACCCTCCAGGCCTTGCCCCTCTCAGCACTGGTCCTGAAGGAGTCATCTGTCCTGGATTCCCCATGTTTCCAGTTGCTATCTGTACAATGTACATCCTCTGGACTAGCCAGATTTGTAAGGTATAAGTGGGATCATGATAGTGGGGGGCGGGGGGAGGAAGCATTCAAGAACTAGAGGAAAGTTATATGTTTCATCGTTGCTACCTTGCTCCCTGATTGGTTCATCTCCTCCTCACAACTCTTCAGTAAGGGGGTGTACAGTTGCCTACCGATGGGCTTTGAGTCTCCACTCTGCACTCACCCACCTTTACAATGATATGGTTTTTTCTTCTTGGATGCTTGATACCTGATCCCTTCGGCAGTCGTGGTCACACAGGCTGGTGTGCTTCTTCCATGTGGGTTTTATTGCTTCTGAGCTAGTTGACCGCTTGTTTATCTTTATGTACTGGACTCTTTATGGGAGTGAGGGGGTGGGGGTGGAGGTGGGAGCTGGAGAAAAATATAACAGTTGCTGTGAGTTGATTCGAACTCATGACAACCTCATATGTGCCAGAGACTTGTGTTCCACATGACTTTCGATGGGTGACTTTTCAGGAATATGTTGACAGCCGTTCTTCTGGTGCTCTCCCATGAACAGTTAAGTGCGTTACCAAGACTCCACAATGGTAGAATGGCAAAGTAACGCAATTGATGACTTGCAGGCAGATACCAGTACTTGATTTTCAATATTAACAAGCAAGGTGCAAAATTTCATAGATAATTTTGTTTTTAAAGCCAGAGAGGATGGGGTGTAGAGAGTGAGCAGGAGCGGGAGAGCTCAGCCTTAACGGTGGGTTTGTTTGGAATAGTTTGGATTTCTTTTTTATTTTTATTTATTTTTTATTTTTTAATTATTTTTATTTTTTTGATTTCTTTTTTAATGAGACCTAGCTGAAATATGAACACACCACCCGTGTAGAGCACAAAGGGTTATCCCTAACTGTACACTACGATGTAACTGTTGCAATTCTAAAAATAGAGCCATAGCCCTCTCTAATGTCCACTTTCAACCCCTACCCTCTCCTTCACCCGTGATTTAACCACTATCCTAACTTCCAACATCACAGGCAGGCTGTCAATCTGAAAACTCTGGGGCCAGAGTCTTTGAAAAGCAAGCCACTGGGTTCCACCAAACTCCCAATTTTTCATTAAGACTCCAGTGACATTCAATTTGAAGGGTTTGTTATAATCAGGAGTGAGGTGGGGTTGGGGGCAGAGCTGGTGCATCCCTCACCAGGCTTTTAAGGTGACAAAGGGATTTTGGCCAATTAAAGGGGTTTCCCTTGGGCCCTGGGTTGTTTGACACCAGGGCTGACTACCTTTGTTGAAGGGCCCTGACCCCATCTTGTAAGCTCTTCTGTCTCACATCACATCACGTCACGTCACAGCTCAACATAACACAACAACATAACAGAACACAACACAACACCACATCAGAACACAATATGTTTAACAATTTGCATGCCCCAGTCATGGTACCAGTCCTACTTCTGTGGCCCCACCTGTCACTGCGACCTGTAGCCAGTTCCGGCAGTGTCTTCGCCCTCCCCTGCCCCCTCTCTGTCGCCGAAGCTCTGCAAACACGTGGATGCCATTTTGACCTCTTGCAAATGGCTTCCTTATCTGGATGATGTATCTTTGTCTTTCCTTTTTTCCTGTTTAAGACTTTATCCAATGTGCCCTTTAAAATATATTTGAGATGTGGGGGTCTCTTGTGGTACCCTAAAACAGGCCTACGTGGACTGGTGTCAGCTAGGAGTGCTCAAAGTGAATAGAGCTCAGTGAAGGAAGGAGGGTCATTGGACACATCGTTGGTGTCGTTGTCGTCGTTGTGGCTAGGTGCCATTGAGCCAATTCCCATCACAGGGTCCCCGTGAGCCACCGAGCGGAGCACTGTTCGGTCCTGGGTCAGCCTTACAAGGGTTCTTATGCTGGAGCCCATTGGAGCAGTCACTGTGTGAGGCCACCTGGTTGAGGACCCTCCTCTTTGTCGCTGTCCCTCTGCTTTACAAGCATGGTGTCCTTCTCAGGGACTGGTTTCTCCTGACATAATTAGATCAGAATACAGACCTGCACGCTGAGCATCTGTGCGTCCCTTTCCTGTGTCCTCAAATCCCCTGCACATGGCAGAGGAAATTGCAAATGGTAGACATAAAGGGAAAAATAAAAACTTATTCCGAGTAGGGAGTAGAAGGAGTCAGAAAAGATGGCATCAGCAGACCACAAGGTGAGGAATTTCTGCCTTATGTAAAGGATGTGGGTCAGCTTGATGGCAATATACCAGCCTGAGAAAGCTTGGGTCCTCTATAGGTGAAGGGGGAGACCATTGAGAAGGAAGGTTTTCCCTGTAGAGATGAGTGTCTTATACACTGGAGAGGAAGCTCAAGTTGCGTGGCCAGTCCCCATTTCTGCACAATCAGATGTGGGTTTGCCCCAGGATGAGGCTACAAGCACACGTTGCTAAAGATGTCCATCCAGAAGACTGTGTGCTGGGGAAGTCTTCCAGAGTGGACCGTGGGCAAGACAGAGAATTGGGTAGTGTTATTTTCACTCTTAAAATTTGCATAAATAGAAGATGCTTTATTAGATGCACTGTCCTTATAATTAGAACCAAACAAGAAATATTATTCTTTAATAATTAATTTAGTCCAAGTAATTTCCAGAAGATACTTGGGACCAGAGGGTTACATATTGAGGTCTATCCTGCGCCCCTCTTCAAAAAGTTCCTCTATCTTAGGACCTCCAGATAGACCATTCATGCACTCTTGAATACGCTCATTGTGGGGGTCGGCGCAGACCTGTTTCCCGTTCTTGGTGCTAAAGCTGGGAAGAAAGGAGAACAAATGCAGACTGAGCCATCTTTAGCACACGGGGTGGGGAACCACATTCTCCCGCCCTCAGAGTCCCCACTGAACCCAGGCTGGTCTTCATTTTTCTCAGCTGAAGTCAGTTTGGGGCCAGTGTCCTCTTTAAGGCTTCTCTCAGCCTCTCTTTATGTCTTGTGGGAGTGTCCTTGGGCAACATTCGTGCTTTCTCCTCCTTTCCCTGCCCTCCCGGGCACTAGAGCATCTCCTGCCGGCTGCTGGTTGCTGGGGAAGTCCCCAGCTGCCCCTTCTCTGGGAAGGTGGAAGACACAGACTGCCTTCCTGGACCCTCATTCATCAGGCTGCTTCCCCTGGCCTTTGCAGACCCCATCACCCCAACTTGAGGGCTTGGCACTTACATGACACCTGGCCTGGAGCACCCACTGCTGGTTTCATAGTAACCTGCCATGAAGACACACCGGATGTTGCGGCGGATGTAAGTCATGCAGCAGTCAGAGGGACTGTGGAAGTGTGAGCCTGTACAAAGGAGCGAGCTCTATAAGGGCGGAGTCTTTTTTTGTGTTTCCTGCATTCCTTAAGAGTGCTGGGGAGGGTGTTTCCCCTCTTCTCTACTCCCACTGACTGGCGTCTCCCTGCATCACACCCTCCCCAGGGCTGAGCAGGGTGGCTGAGGGCACAGAGGGCGGCCACCACAGATCCAGGACTGTGCCTTCCGTCCAGAAGAGGAACGGCCTGCTGCTTGCAGGAGGCGTCGGAGAGCAAACTCTATCCCAAGTTAGCAGAAGCAGGGGCAACAGGTGGGAGTAGAGGAGGCATCTGTGGGGGAGGTGACCAGCCTGATCTCGTAGTAATGTTCTCACCCCAGTTCCTCCACCCCCTGTAAATGGACCAATGTCATACAGCAAATTTGTATACACCGGCTGCTTTTTAAAATGTACCATGATGTGGAAGAAGCACACCAGCCTGTGTGACCACGAGGAGTCGAAGGGATCCAGTATCAGGCATCAAAGAACAAAAAAATCATATCATTGTAAATAAGGGGGAGTGCAGAGTGGAGACCCAAAGCCCATCTGTCGGTAACAGGACACCCCCTTACAGAAGGATCGCGGGGAGGAGAGGAGCCAGTCAGTGGGTAGTATAGCAACAATGAAACATACAACTTTCCTCTAATTCTTAAATGCTTCCCCCCCCCCCACTATGGTGATCCCAATTCTACCTTAAAAATCTGGCTAGACCAGAGGATGTGCACTGGTACAGATAGGAGCTGGAAACACAGGGAATCCAGGACAGAAGATCCCTATAGGACCAGTGGTGAGAGTGGTGATACTGGAGGGTGGAGGGAAGGTGGGGTCGGAAGGGGAACCGATGATAAGGATCTACATATAACCTCCTCTCTGGGGGAGGGACAACAGAAAAGTGGGTGAAGGGAGACATCGGACATTGTAAGACATGACAAAATAATAATAATTTATAAATTATCTAAGGTTCATGAGGGAATGGGGAGGGAAGTGGGAGGGGGAAAAATGAGGAGCTGATACCAAGGGCTTAAGTGGAGAGAAAATATTTTTAGAATGATGAGGGCAACAAATGTACAAATGTGCTCGACACAATGGATTGTGATAAGAGTTGTATGAGCCCCCAATAAAATAATTTTAAAAATATACCATGATAGAATATTTACCATGCAGATTAATTTCTGAAGGTTGAAAAGCTTTCTCCGGCTTGGATTCTATTTCAATATCGGGAAGAAACAGATAGGTAAGGAGAGGAATCAGTGGGAGGCAGTACTATCTCAGCATCTCCACCCACTCATTCCCGTGATTCTGGCCCACCTGCCACCTGGTTTGAGTCCAGACCTGCCTCCAGGGTCATTGCTTCCGTTAGGGCCCTGGGACTCTCCAGGGGCTTTGACAATGTAAGATACAAGGGAAACATTCTATGGACGCGGAGACAAACTACAAATTCAACACGAATCAATTAATCAAATGTCTACATGGTATGGCGCAGCCCACAACCCTTTCTGCATATTTCCACACTCCAAAGAGTTCTGAACACACGAAGTGTGTTCATTTGCTCACTCGGTGGCAGAGCATGAGTTGATATGACCTCATCTGGTGACACGATGCCACCTGAAGTATGAGTGTGTGGGTGGAGTTTGCAACCACAAGAACAACAACAACCAATCAAATTGTAAATTATCTTGTCTTTTCGTAGCTCTGTCCTAAGTCGCTCACATTAACTTAGCCCCTCACTATGTGATTTTGAACAAGTGATTTTACCTTCCCATGCCTTAGTTTTCTGATTTTATAATTGGGTATAATTATTATTATACAAACCTATATAAAACTGCTGGGTTTTTCTAAATCTATACAAATAGAGACTTCATCTCATTTGGCCGATTAGCAACTCCATAAGGGTTATGAGTAGCATTCAACGCGTTAATGACTGTAAAATACTTAGAACAGTACCTATGTATACACTGATATAAATATAGATTAGAATATAAATAGAATGGTTAGGTGATTCTGGTAAGTCACTTGCCTGACAGCCCATTTTCTCTCCACAAGGACAGTTTTAGGAGTTGGACGGAGCCCTGTTGCTGCTGTAGTTAAGGTTGGCAGTTCAAGCCCACCAGCTGCTCCATGGGGAAACTCTGGGGCAGTCTGCTTCTATAATTACTCAGCCTTGGCACCTAGTGCAGCAGCTTCATGCTGTCCTATAGGGTCATCATGAGTCAACATGGCTTCAACAACAGTGGTTGTGGTTTGGGTGTGTGACACACACACACACACACACACACACACACACACACACGCACGTGCACTGTCGTCCAGTTGATCTAGACTCATGGCGACCCTATAGGACCTGGTAGAACTGCCGCTGTGGGTTTCCCAGGTTGTAGAACCTGATCTTTCTCTAGTGCTGCTGCTGGGGACTTTGAAATTTGTAACCAACCCATGAGCACTATGCCATCAGGGCCACCTTTGGTGTATGAGCTAATAAATAACAGCTCTGACTTTATAGGATTCTATGATTGTCTCAACACATTCAAAGTGTTACTTTAGTTCTTGTCCTCTAAGATTTCACTCATCGGGAGGAGGCATCCAATATGTTGGTTCTAGAAAAAGAAAGGATTGTTTCTCATGGGACCAGTTGTTTCTGAAGATCTTTTCCAAAATTCTACAGAGAGAAGCAGAGGGAACGTACCTTTTCAGTGAATCTCATAACCATGTCTGAGACAGGGAGCTGTCTCAGGAGGCACAGACGTCTCTCCATATCACCTCCCCACCCCTGTGCATTACTGCAGACCTGGCCACCGCAGAAAGCTCGTGGGACTTACCATCCGTGATCCGGACCAGGGATCCAAAGTCAACCGCCCAGGTGAGGAAACATAGGGTAGCAATGGAGACCTTCATCCTTCTGGGCACAAGAAGAGATGGCTTGAGGCTTCCTGGGCTCCCTGCTCTCTAACCTCAGCTCTGTCCCTGTATTTATAAGAAGAGAAGGGTCAAGAAGTCACAGGGGAGAAAGCAGGGGAAAGGGCAGAATGCTAGTCTTGGTTTTACAATAGTTCACATTCTACTTCTTAAAAGGAGAAGAAGGTTGGGAGTTCAACAGGAAGTAGAAGATCATTTGGGGTTTTCCTAACTGTCGCAATGAATACAGACAGAATAATATTTTAAAGAAGTATGCATTCCTCTAGGAGATTAATTTTATCTGCTGTAAGTTATTCTCCATGAGAAAACCATGAGCAGCCCATGGGGGGTGTGGGGGTGTGGGAGTGGTGGAGGAGGGGAGCTTCTCAGCTTTTCTGGCTTGGGAATGGAACTTCCTAGACACTCTCTTATGTCCATTTGCCGCTTCCTTCCTGCAGTTGGAGAGCTGACGAGGCTCCAGACTAGGGTCTGGGAGACTTTCCTAGGCTCTGATGATCCTAAGTACTACCAAGCCATCCTGGGCATTTTAGTGCCCAAATAATCTATAATCAGAAGTGATTGCCAAAGGGAACCCTTTAACGTCATGGTCATGGGATTCCTCATGCAGAATCTACTACTAGCTTCTCATGGCCTGGGGGCTAAGCACCCGCGTTCTTGAATGAACGCAGAAGGGGGTTTTCTTTACACACACAGCACCGCTCTTTTCCAGCGATGGTATTTTAATGTCAAACACATTTAACAACTGACATTTATGAATTTAGATTTTATAAGGTTTTCTTTTTTGGAATATCTATATGGAGCCCATATATAGATATGGAGCCCTGGTGGTGTAACAATGAAGTGCTCAGCCACTAACCCAAAGGTGGGTGGTTTGAACCCACCCCTCAGTGGCTCCACAGGAGGAAGACCGGCGATGGCTCCTGTAAAGATTAGAGCCTGGAGACCCTGTGGTGTTGTTCTGCTCCATCACTGTCCACATCAACCCACCGACATCCAACAGCCACAAAGAATGAATTGTTCCTGCCAGACAGGGCTTCCTACTCATCCCTCAGCTCTGAACTCTGAAATGCCTTCCACTAGGAAGATCCTTAGACTCTTGTTCCCTCATGGCTGGGTGACTGTGTTGAGTACCTCTACAGCATTTACACATAAGTCTGTTACCGCATCTGTAACAGCACCAGTTAAGCTCTATCTTCAATGCTTGGTTGCTTGTGAGTTTTCCCCCCAAGCAGGTCTCCGAATGACACAAGGTACTCTTGACTACTAATTGGGGGTGTGTGTGTGTGTGCGTGTGCGGTGTTGGTGGCTCACAGCACGACAAAATGAAGTCCGGGCGATCTACTTTCTTAAGATTACAGTCATTGGGAAACCCACAGAGTGTGGCTCTGCTCTGAAACACATAGTGTATCCAAGAATTCAACTAGACAGGAACAAGATGTTTTCTTTTAAGGGAGGGGGTCAGTTACACTGTCCTCTATTGACTTTCTTTCTCTCTAATGATTCTTGCCTAAGAATTCGGAAGCACATGGCAGATATGCAATGCTTTGAGACATGCTCTTTTCTTGTGACTCAGGCTATAGGTTGAGCAGCTATAGAATTTACTATAAAAATCTGGGAAAGCAAACGTTTTGAGAATGAGGATGGCAACAAATGTACAAATGAGCTTGACACGATGGATGTACGGATTGTGATAAGAGTTGTACGAGCCCCCAATAACATGATTAAAACAAAAATCTGGGCAGCATTGAGAGTGAAATTATGTCAGACCTGTTCTGGCAGCCCCAGATATTTGGTCACCGAGATCACCCCATGATCGATAATATGCTGACCTCGCAAGCATATTGGCCATATATGCAACTTTTACAAAATCCTGCCCGTTTCATTTCATTCATGACTCACCAGAATGATTTCACAACGGATGACCCACACTTGCAGTTTGGAAGCAAACAAATAAAAGTCTCACTGATCTAAGATAGCTTCCTCTTTCTCTAGTGAAAAGTTGAAGTGAGGTAATGAGGAGGAACGTGCTCAAAACTGCACAGATTTTGGTGAGAAGGTGCCCAGGCTTCTGTCTGCCATCACCACCTCTCTGTTTCACTAGCACTTTGAGGGGGAGGGGCGAGGCTGGCTGGCATCTCCGGACAAGTCATTCTACCTTTTGTTACGAATGTTTTCCATAGGTTTCCTAGCCCTTCTCTTTTGTCAAGAGTTCTTCCAGGTTGCACATGTCTGAATATTGAACAAGTTCTTGAGCTTCAGTGTTTTAATGTTATGAAATATCATTGCTTCAATGTCATGAAATAGAAAGACTAAATATCGTACAAATTTTTACTATATAAACAGGGCGTAGTTCATTCATATTTTTTACCAGAATCTGTATCATATAGCACTAGCCACTATGCCAACAGACATACACTGGGATTTATTAATTTTATGAAATGTTTACCATGAATAAAAAAACCTCACAACTCTTTTCCATTTATCTTAATATTCCTGTTAAGCTGTGCTTGGTAGAATGGTTGATAACTATAAAATTTCCTTAGCCATGGGTGCTGAGAAGGCTATCTTATTTCACGTTGATCAAAGTTGTCCATGCTGGACTCATAAAGACATTGTGAATTATTTGGGATAAGAAAAAATGTGATCTTAGGAGCCCTCTTCCTGCTTAGAAAGACAAATTACTGTTGACTGCAAAGTTCAGAATATTATGATAGTTATTGGTTAACCAGGTATTCATGGAACCTCATTTTGCTAAGGCAAATCAATGGCCTCAGAGTCATGAAACTTCATATGTGTTGAAAGAAGTCAAGTCTGTTAATATTTAAATGATCCTTTCTGCCTCTAAACTGGTTTAAGTACATGGAGTCAAAGCAGCATCAACCAAGAGAGAGAGAGTCAACTGGGCTGGTTTAGGGGCCATTTGGACTGTTTTCTTATAACAGGGAAATACCAGGAAAACAGTCTTTATTTTATTGGGAAATATGAAAAAAATTTTTTATCACAGTTCTAATTTCATAAAATGACAGAGATTAATTTTGTTTTTTAAAGAAATAAATGGTTTTTATCATTTGTAAAAGTTTTAATCTCCATCCTTGCTGCTGAAAAATTACTCAAGTTATGTCACTCTTTTAAAATAAATATTATTTTATTTATTTATTTTAAAAAACGCTTTATTGGGGGTTCTTACAGCTCTCATAACAATCCATACATCAATTGTATCAAGCACATTTGTACATTTGTTGTCATCATCATTTTCTAAACATTTTCTTTTTGTTTGAGCCCTTGGTATCAGCTCCTCTTTTTTCCCTCCTTTCCCCCACACTCCCATCCTTGTGGATCCTTGATAACTATGTTTTTATTATTTTTATATCTTACACCGACCATTGTCTCCCTTCACTCATGTTTCTGTTGTTTGCCCCCTTTGGTATGTGGGGGGGTTATATGTAGATCACTGCCGTTGTTTTCTCCTTTCCTCCCCCTTCTTCCCCTACCCTCTTGGTATTGCTACTCCCATTTCTATTCTTGAGGAGCTTATCTGTCCTGGATTCCATGCGGGGAGACCGCTTGTCT